TAAGGATGTAAATTGTTGCCTTCCCAGGTAAATTAATGACGACATAAAAAAGGAGCAGGGCACAGAAACAGCAGAGAAGGGATAAATATTTTTAAAACAAGTGTCTGTTTATGTTGGGGAGCACTTCACCTTCATGTTTCTGGCTCCCAGCTGCAGCTGCACATCAGTACCTGAAACACAACAGTGAGCAAACACAGTGGCCCTGAAATAATGCAGGTACATGAGCATAAAAAACCAAGAAAACAGCCTTTGAGCACAGGAGTCACCTCTCCACAGCTCCAACCACCTGTCCCAGTGCAGTTTTAGATAAAGAACCTGACACAGCACTTTCTTTCAGTGCTACAAATGTCCTTATTTATCTTGCACCGTCAGAAGTATCAAATTCAAATCATGTACCTCATATTAAGACTATGTAGTAAAAAATTCCTCCTCTACCTCTTTACTTAAAAGGAAAAAAAAAAAAATCTGGTTTTAAGATAGTCAGGGTTAATAAAACAAATCCCTGCAACAGACAAGAGTAAAAAAATTAGAAAATATAAGGCACATTTTTCATCTATAAAATTCTCTAACCAAGGTGTAGGGAAAAAAAAGGCTTCTCTCTAATATTGCCTTCAGGAGATCACAAAACATTACTCAAGAAGGTGTATTTCCAAGACACACAGGAATGCTTCAGCTGGTTTCCTCACTCCTGCTTCCTAAATCAATTATCTTCCATGTCAGCTTTCACAGAAATTAACATTTCTGCCCCATCTCCTGATCTGTGGCTGCTGCATGCTGGACTCTGAAAATTAAAGTTCATTTTCTCAGCTGGAGTAATTTAATATAAGCCTCCACAACAGAGTCTGATGCTTCCCTGCTTGGCTCAGCCAGCACAAATCTCTCCCCAGGATTTTGTGAGGTTTCACCCCAAGCCTGACACAGCTGACAGCGTTTGGAAAGCCCCAGGCTTTCTCTTTCCTGTCCAGCTTCTGTGCTGAAAAGGGTGGCCTCTAAGACCCCTTTGTAGACCTGTAAACAAACAATCCCTTTCATAATCATTTGCTTCATTTATTAAAAAAAATACAACACAACAAACAACAAAAACAGAAACAACAAATGCAGCCTGTGATAGGATATATAGCCTCACTCTTCCTCTGGTTGCAATAATTTTTCTGTCCCAAGATAGCATGAAATTTGGCTGATGTGTAGATCAAGGGCACAAAAGTTCTCAGTCTCTGCACTCTTAAAAGTCACATCAGATCAGTCTCCCTTTTTTTCTCTTTATTTTACAATCTGTGCTTACGTCTGCTCTGATGAAGGACACCCCTCCCCAGAAAAGCCACCTAATAGTCTGCAGAGCAGATGCAGAAATATTCCAATGCTTTTCCAAGCTTTGTAAATTTGTATAGATTTAATAAAAAAGTGTTTTGTGAAATCACCAGTACACCTTAGAAAGCAGTAGCACCAGAGGCCCTTGCCAAAGGCACATACTTAATGATTTTTTTTTCCCAACCTGGAACTTTTCCTGTAAGACATGTTCTTTTGTTGATCAGATTTGACTGTGTTAGATTAGCAAACAACAGTAATTTGTTTAGTAATTATCTCCTAAATTTTGCCTTAGCTTGTGTCAACATGGCACCATACATAATTCAGCCAGTCTTTTGTACCTTGACATATCTTGGACAGCAGTCCTTACCATTGACATTATCTAATACAATGTTCTGTGTCTAATCTTCAAAGTCACAGGAGGTTTTTGCCACCTTTCCCTTTTTTCCATCTCATATTCAGAGGAAAAAGATGTGGGGAAGATTAAGAGCCACGAGACATTGATTACAGAGATGGAGATGAAGGCCATTTCCTAATCCTGGAAAGGGACATAGCTCAAGTCAGGGATACAGGTAGCGAAGATACTCATTTTGGAGGGAAAATAAATAATTTCAATAACCATTTAATGTTATTTTACAACAGCTCTCTTCATTAGAATCTCGGTTATTTAGTGATGTTGGTTCAGAATTTATGCACATGACTTTATGTGTTCCCCACAACATCAGCGGGCAGTACATTACGTTTCTGCCAAATAAAACAGTGAAGAAATCACAGCTGCATCCTACTAACCTTGAAGAATCAGATAATGGTTTTGAGTCCTTGAAAATCTCACCCTCAGCTCTGGGTGATTCCACTTACTCAAGGACGAGTGCTGCTTTTTCATCTGGGGCTCCCGAGCTCTAACATAACCCCTGAAAAACATTCTCCACCTCCTGCTAAACCCGAGGTGACAAGAGTCAGGGATTAAAATTTCTCATCCTCAAGTGGCACTGCAAGATAACAAGGACATCAGAAACAGGCATTGAGACAAAACAGCAAGTGACCCTGCAAAGCCCATGGCACACCCATGAGCACATAGCACAAATATTTGCTATACTGCTTCAACGAAGCCAACATGCAGCTTAGAAAACCACCTTAAATTACATCATCTGGGCTGAAATGGATGGGTTTTGGTCAAAACAGAGCACTGTAAGGCATCCAGTGTTGCTGCACGCCAGCTGCAGGGATTGTCTGTGTCAGGACAGGTCCTAAGGTCACCCGTGCCAGGCACAGCATCACTAATTCTACAGCAAGACCATCACACCTTGGGTGTTTTTACAATCTGGAGTACCTTGCTAAGTGATGGAGTACCCTTTGCATCAGCCCACCAGTTATACACACGTGAAATCTACCACAAAAAGCAGAGTTTTTAAGGTGCAGGAATTCCCACTGCTGTAGGAACGCACCCCACCACACATCACCCTGTGCAGTAACTTTCTATTAAATATACAGTTAAAATACCAGGCTAAAGCACCCCCGAAGTGAAGAATGAGGTTCATTCCTGCTTAGAACAGCTGCAAACTCCAAGCATTTCACAGCCATTGTGATCCATCCTACTACAGTGACCATCATGTGCAATTCTGGCAGGTGACAGGCAGAGGCAGAGAAATTAAAAGAAAGAAGAGCCAAACATAAATGTAGATGGGGGTTTGGTTTTTTTTTGGTGTTGGGGTGGTGTTTTTGTTTGGTTTTGGGGGTTTGGGGGTTTTTTTGAGGGGTTTCTTTTAGGTTTCTTTTCCTTCAAAACATAATACCACACTCTAATTACCACTATCAGCACACATAACACCACTTATCCACGACAGATTTGCCTGCAAAATGAACACCCCTCCTGTTCCACTGCCTCTTTACTGCAGGAGAGCAAATTTGTAGCAGTAGCAAAAATGCAAGTAAGTTTATAAGCATTCAAGCCTGTGTTTGAAGATACTGAGAACAACAGATGTGGACACCACGTAGAAACCAAAGAAAAGCAGTACCAGCTTTTTGCCAATCACTCAAAGCAGCATTTCCAAAAAAAAAAAACAAACAAAAAAACCCAACTGACTGCATTTGTAGCTTATTTTCAAATGTTTTTTCCACCTCATATACACACATGGATGTGCTAAGCACAGGAACTTTTTTATACAGATGTCATGTCAATCACCCACCTGTGGTATTTTTCAAACCATTTCCTCCAATCCTCCTCCTCCTGATGAAAAGGTAAAACACACAGAAGATAAAAACCAAGGCACATGCAATCCTTTCTCTTTTGTGCTAATTCTTCCTGTATCTGGAAACAGCCTAGAAGTTAAACCTTTTTCAGCTTTCATTATAGACACAAATTCCTTGGTGTGCTCTACTACTCAACAGTACGTAAGCCTCTCACCACTAAAATATTTCTAGACACCAGGAAACACAGCCAGGACCATGAACCCTCCTCTAAACAGACCTAACAGCAACAAAAAACCATCATTCATCCTAAGTTTTATTTAAATATCTGACTATTGCGATGTAGATCAAGGTAGTTGTTTAAACTTAGGATTTGTTTTTTGATTTTCACCAGACAAGTGTGCCTCTACCCCATCCATTCCTGCAGACAACACCAACCAAGCTGTCCCAGCTCCGAGGAGCTGCTTTTCCATGACAATATATTAATTAAGAGGGAAGAAAAGTACAAGGGGAACTGGAACAAGACCATCTGAAAGCTGATATTCCACTCACTATCCCATGCCTATCATAACCATATCCCAGAAGACACTTCCAGGCTAGGTGTACCAATCTTTTAAATTATGGTTCCCCCAAAATCTTTAAATGGCACTTTTCCCACCACATATTCACCTGAAATCATTTTAACACAGCACATGGTCAGGAAAAATTCCCTTTGGAGCAGCTGAGACTGTTGGCTTCACTTGGAAATTAAATAAAAAGGTAAACGAAGAGCATTTTTTTGTCAAAATCTGCAATGGGTTTCAGGCAGGAGCTCACCAGAAACTATCTTAACAAATCTATCATTAAAGGGCATGTTTGCAAACAAGTCTACACTAGAGGAAGATACATGACCACCTGAAAGCAGGCTTGGCTATCCTGTGAACAAGGACTGACAGCTGGACGTTACAGAATATTTTCAGTTTGAGTTTCTAATTCATACTGAGCATACAAAAATGAATCCAAGCAGGCAAAACAACACAGTTTTTGCTTTCTATCTCTGACACACATAAAAAAAAGTTTGAAAGTATTAATGCCTTTAAGGTCTTTAGTCATGTTCACCAACGGAGGCTGCACTGGTCAGTGATTATACTAACAACTTACTTCTCTTTATGAACATACTTTAATATAACATCATTCAAACACTTCAAAGACAAGTTATCCCAGGTAGTAAGGCCATTTTTAGAACTGTCTTTATGCACTTAATGATTTTTTTTTAATCCAGAACCCTGACATGTGATGGAAAGAAACAAATCCGGTGAACGTAATTCAGTAACAGGAGTAAGATATATGAAGGTGTAGTGAGAAAATGAGCACACAGCAAAATGCTGACTGACTGACAGATGGATAGATCAGAAATTGAACCAACCTTTATAGCCACTAAACAATCCAGAGAAAAATCAGAACAAATCCAGAACCAACACAGTGCCTGAAGTCCACGGGACAGAAAAAACCTGAATGAGGGAACCCACCTCAAATTCTACACCTGCTCCTGCTGGTTATATCCCAGGTACATTTTGCTGATTATGAATCTGAAACCATGATTTCACAGAGATCTGTCAGTTATGGTGATCAAATCTACTACCGCTAAGGAAACTGCTCTGAAAAAGACATAAACAGCATTGTAAGTGGATTGTGTAGGTCTCACTTAAAATCCTTCGCTTCTCTCAGTCACTGCATCAATTCCATGGGGTAAAAACATTTTACACATGTATATCAGCCACCAGCCTCCCACAGCAGCTGCACAAAGTATGTCAAATGTTACCTGTAAATACCATTTTAGAGAGAAAAACACCTGCTTCCCCTCACCGAAGGAAAAAGCAAAATCTGCCCCACACTCAGCAGAAAAGCACAAATTTGGTGCTGAAACACAGAGAGTAACACAGACCCCAAAACCAAGCCATCACCTCGGGAAGGGGTGATGTTTTTAAAAACACTTTTATAAGGAGGAACAGGTTCCTCATGAAACTTCAGGTGTTTGCTATGACAGAACCACTCAGGCACAAAGTCATCACTGTGAAGCTCTTCCACAGAATTCACTTTACTGAGCTCTCACAGCATCAGCTCACTCTGTAAAATACCAGAAAATAAACAAACAAAAAAACCCATAAACAAACAAACAAACCACAAACAAACAAACAAAAAAGGCTCCTGGAGGGAAGAAAAAAATGAAAAAAAGTTGGAAATTTTTGGGCAGGTTCAGCTACTGAAGAGATCATGAAAAGCTCTAAAAGGGGAAAACGTAGCACAGGAGCCAAAATACAAGAGACCAGGGGGAGACAGTCTGGATTCTCCCTATACAACAACAAAAGTAACAGTAAGAGAGTCGTAATTAAGAAACAGCCTCATTAAGGCGCTCTTTATGTTATTAAAGCTTCAGCAGCCAGTGGCCCACGCCAGCAGGGCAACACCCCCACACCTCCCAGGGACCCGCTGAGGGCCGAATAACAACGAACAACCGAGAAAAACCCCAAAAACAAACCAAAAGAACCAGTTGGCTTGGAGGACTTTTGGGTTTTTTCTTTTTCTTTTTCTTTTTTTTTTCCGGTTAGGTTTTTTTTTGTTTTTTTTTTTCCTTGTTTGGGTTTCCTTTGATTTTGTGGGGTTTGGGGCTTTTTTCTTTTGTTTTGTTTTGGGGTTTTTTTTGGGGGGGGGATGGTGTTTGTTTTTTTGCGTCCCACTAAAGACACGAGGTCCCCATGGCCCGGTGTAGGGCCAGTGAAGGGGTGATCTCGGTGATCCCGGCTGTCCCCGCACCGGGACACGGCCCCCCCGCTCTCCTCAGTCCCGGTGAGGGGCCAGTGAAGGGCTGACCCCGGTTATCCCGGTGATCCCGGCTGTCCCCACACTGGGACACAGAGCCCTTCCTGCCCTCCGTTCCGGTGAGGGGCCAGTGAAGGGCTGATCCCGATATCCCGGTGATCCCGGCTGTCCCCACACCGGGATACCGCCCGCTCCCCTCAGTCCCGCCCGCGC